GCACAGACATAAACACAACTGGAGTGCATACATATGTGTGTGCAAAGCATATATATGGTGTGTGTTAGAGTCGGTAATGGAAAAAAGAATCAGAGAGGTCTGTGGATTCAAACCTTTAGATTGTCCAGGAAGTGTACCTATCAGGATGGGAGGACAGCATTGATTTAGGATAACTATCAATTAGGTTTGTTACTTTCAAATATTCAAGTTCTGATATGTGAGTCCCCATTTACACTACTTCCAAAGGCTCCAAAGTGGTAGGAGTTGAACCACCACACACAAAAATGTAAAACTGAACCATAGTGCTAAGGAAAAACTACACCACTTGGGTATCTGATAAAATGCTCTACTTGGTCTCCATAACCTGGAATCTCATGCATCTTGGGTGGCAGGGGGATCTCCAAATTCTCCTGAGCCCTGTAAAATCCTTTCCTTCTTTCCAGCAACCCAGAACACTGAGCAAAATATTCCATACTATTTTTACCCCTTCTGGACATGGCTCCAAGGAAGCCAGACCTAGAAAGAGAAAGAAGGCTAAGAAAAGGTTATAAATCATTGTGGACTACTGCCCTGCCCTTACTCTACAAATTCCTGACCAACACAGTGAATTTCATCCTTGTACCCATCTCTAGGCACTGCACAGCTGCCCAGCCTGGCAGGCAATTTCAGCTCTTTGTCAAGGTATCAATGTGTCTTACATCCCTTGTTCCCAACTGGCTAAGCTCAGCCTCACAGTCTAAATCAACTTTTTCTCATTTGGACCTCAGCAGCCACAGAGCAGCCTTTCATGACTGAGAGAAAAAGGTAGCAAATTCCCCCACTTGTCTCTGCAAATAGGCAACCCACCCACTAGCCACTTTTAAACATGCATCTCTTTCTCTTGTACCTAGCTTTACTGTGATTCACTCAGGCTCACTGTGCGTTCTTGATCTCCAGCTTCTGTGATGTGTGAGGTATACCACAACACATCTTGAGGGCAGGGCCACATCTACCCTGTGTCCCCAGGCCCTGCTCAGCACAAGAGCAGCCAGAGGTATGTATTTAGATGTTGATGATGGAAACCAAGTTCAGCCCTCCGGGCCTCCCACACTGTGAGTGCACAAGAAGCAATCCACTCTCACAGCCAGAACACAATCCCAGCACCCCTCCCGCTGCCTGACAGCTGGGCACACTCTTCCTTTGAGACAGGAAAGGGGAGCACATTCTTGCACCCAAAATCATAATACTACTGTTAATGATAATAATAATATATTGTGACATTACTCTAATGGTGTTCATTGACTTGATGATCACAACAGTCTAATGAAGTAGGAACTACCATTAGGATTCCTGTTTTTGTTTTAAGAATTACTAATTTATTTGAAAGAGAGAGGAGAGCTTTTCCATTAATAGGGTTCACTCTCCAAATGGCTGCAACACTTTAGTCTGGACCAGGAGCTAAGAACTCGATAAAAATCTCCCACATGGACTCCTAAGTCCTTCCTCTGCTGCCCTCCCAATGTGCATCAGCAGGCAACTGGACGGAAAGTACAGCCGCAGGGCCTTGAAGCAGCACTCCCACTGGGACTCAGGTTTCACAAGTGGCAACACAAACCACTGTACTACAATGCCAGCTCCCACTCCAGTTTAAAAAATAGGAAATCTAAGCTCCACAGAGGCTGAGCAGCTTATAAAAACCCCTAACTGGACCACCTAGATTCAGAGACCTCATGTGGCCTTCTATCAACACTATCCTTTGGGGTAGATGAACATAGATAGCTTCAGACAAACATAGACAGCAACGGGTTGCTAACTGCACTCTTATCCTAACTCTCACAGGTCCCTGGCTCTTGTACAGCATGAACAAAGGTCTGAGAAAGGACCGCAGGCACTCAGTAGCTTTCCATCATGGAACCCAATAAGCTCTCAATGTATTTTTCTTTTTGCACAGCTCACCCCGTCTCTTTCTGTCTTCTCTTCTTTTTCACCCATGCTAAGCTTGTTCACATTCAGGCTTTTGGACTTGCAGTTTCCTCCATTTGGAAAGCTCCTCCCCACATCCAGGCATTGCTGGTTAGGTGTTGGCTCAAATGGCTTTACAGAAGCAGATTTTTCCTGCTCCCCTCTCTAACGTGGGGGAATCGTTCTCTCATTTCTTCATGTTAGTATCATCACAGTGCACAATGCTATCTGAAATTATTCTGTTAGTTTGCTTGTTTATTTCTGTGTCTCCACCAGAATAGCTTCAAGGGAGCACAAGATTCCATCTGTTTCATTCACTCCTGCGTGTTCATTACCTGGAGCAGCAACCAGCACACTGTCTGCCCAGTAAGCAGATTGTTCAGTGGATGCATGCATGGGTGAGTGGCTGCACAGTCCTTTGTGAATACTTCTGTGTAAAGGTGGAGTTCCACATATAAGGCAAGCCCTTCACAGGAAGACACCAGATTTTCGTTTTGGTCAATGTTTTAGCCCCTAGAACATAAGTAAATGACTAGGGAAACAAGTGGGAGGAGCAGCTGTTTAGTTCCTTTGTTTGGGCAGGGAAAAGACCAAGACATTCAGCTACTGAGATTGCAAAGCTGCCTATACTCCTTCCACGACCATGTGCAAGCAATTGCTGGACAGCTCTCTCTCTCTGAACAGAAGCAAAATGACAAAAATCTCAGCATGGCTCTCTTTCTCCTTGCCCCACCTCCCTTTTCTAGAATTTCACCCATGTCCTTTCTTTTGTCTCCCTTCCTCATGAAATACTGTGAAGTCAACTGAGGAGGAAAGTGGGAAACTGCGCTTCTCACATCTAGGGTAGAACCCATCCTGCTCTCACTGCTGGTGTAACACAATCCCATTAAAACCTCCTGGCTCTTGCTTGGATAAAACAAATCCCCCAAATGTAGTAATCATATACAGGATAAGCATCCAGTCCTAATGCAAACATGCACTCCTAGTCCTCCCACATAACAGAGAAATCCAATCCTTTATTAGCATGACCTTTTTTGTCAATGCTTTATTTATAACAGACAATAAAAATGAACAAGAAAAAAAAAGCACCTAATCTCTGACCAGACCTTGTATCACGTGAGAGCATTTCACAACACTGCTAACGATCTTTTTCTTTTTGTAATAAAACACAGCTTTTTCATTATCAAAACACATGCTTATTATAAACTCATCCTTTCCTGGGTACTTTCATGCTCATCGTCTGCTGGATCTTCCCAACACACCTATAAGGGAAGGAAGGGAACAGAGAATGGTGTCTTCAATTAAGAGAAGTTGGGAATGGGACCCAGAGTTGTTACAACTATTTGAAGATGTTCACATATCAGATAAAATGTTAATTCAGGACCTCTTCCAAGCCCTGTCATTCATAAGAGAAAAGGGTGAATTTGTCAGAAGAAACACTTCCAGCACATGTGTGACATATAGACTTGAACCAGTCCATGGGAGAAAAGAAAGAAATCGCCAACAAAGGTAGGAAACTAATTTTTTAAAAATTAAAGAAGAGGATTCTGACTGGGGGAAGATCCTGCTACAGAACATCCCCAAAGTGAGACTCACCCTTGTTGCCAGACAAGCCACCACACCCTGTAGCTCTACTGCAGGTTCAGCTCTGGAAGTGGCCAGAGCACAGAAAGACAGACACTAAGCAGTCATCCTGTACCTTTTGCCCAACTGTTTTCAACTCTAAGCAGTACTGTATTTAATACTTCAGATGATCCTACTTACAAGAAAAAAGAACCCAGCACTCAACCTGCATCCACTAGACATCTACTCACACTAAAATCTACCTTTCTCTCCCTTACAATCCTCAGGCTATGGGTCCAGGCATTACTTGTCCCTGAAGTGCTTTGTCCATTCATAGCAAAAAATAAAAATGAATGGAGATGTCAACTAAGCCAGCAGCTCACAGAGCAAGCCCTCTAAGAACATGAGCTAGTTAGGAGCATCAGCATGGCTCCCTGTTGCACTTCTACTTGTTCAGGGAGCACCAAGTGGCCATCCCTCTACTTGAAGAAACTACTGAAGAAGTGAGTAACACGAACACAAAATGTTCTCCATGTTTAAATCAGTCTTCTAACTGTATCAGGTTTTCGGTCGAGTCTTTCATAGCTATGATTGTTTGGAACGTGTTCTGACAACCCTTGAGGAATGCACACATGCTATACAGCCTTGCAGACACTGGATTATGATGGAACAGCAAGTGTGTCTGTGAAGATCTGAATGGACAGGATACGGAGAATCGGCCAGACCACGACAACCCTAGTTCATGTGACAGATGGTATACCTCATCCTAGATGGGGAGAGTTCATACAACAGTCGAGACTGATACACTTCAGGTGGAAGATGAACAAGTAGGAGAGATCCCTCCTTTCTCAATGACATTTAAATTCACACTCACTCTTACTTGCCTACTCACTTTTAAATAGGAAACCTTGAGATAGCCAAAAGTATCTTAACAAACTTCAAGATCTTCTTGAACCTGGAATCCCTCTCCCATGCCTCCTCAATGACTAGAACACATCATTGAGGACGTCAACACGAATCAAAGAGCAAACTGATGGGATTTCAACCCATGAGACCAGGCAAAGAGCAAGGTCTTGGTACACTTCCACAGCAGGAAGAAGTTTGTATCTAGGACTGAATCTGTGTTGATTTTACTAATAACAAATACCATAAAAGGATCATTTGAAACAAGTATGAACGTAACACTGAGTGCCTTCTTTGCACTGCCTTGGGCTCTCTAGTCACCAGATACTTATGGAGCCTTTGGATGGGCCTGAAGTCACTAGCATTAGAAGAAAATGCAAAACTAGAGTAAAACTGAGCCATATACCCAGCTCCATCAATAACGAGACACCCATCAGTCAAATTTAACCACAAGAAGCATCATCAAGGAGCTTTCCAACTTAGTCCTCACCCTAGAGACAGCCCAATGATTTTCCCAAAGCAAATGGACAAGTCACAATATGCAAGACCTGGAGACATCACAAGAAAGTGGGAGAAAGGAGAGAGGGACTCACCTGCTCCGGCCCCTGGAAACAGATGCGGCAGAGTGGGGTTCTCATGCCACTGTCCAAGCTGCTGCCCAGTGAGTAGCCATCCTCAGCCTTTTCCTTGAAAAAGTCATCAGAAGAGATGCTGCTGGGAAGGGAGCCAGGTGGCTCTGGGGCTGAACCACCCCAGTCATCTTCCACAGAAGGTGGCAAAGGCGGTGGAGGTGGCAGAGGAGGGGTCTCCCTGCCCATCACCTCTCGAGGACCCCTCCAGCCTGCCCACCCCCCGGCAGGCAGAGCCGGAAGGGTGTTATTGTTGGCCGCCAAACCGGGGAGTTGGGGGTCGCCGTGCATGGGCAGGGGCGCTGGAGGGGGGCGCCGCAGTAGGAAAACCTTCAGGTCATTGAAGAGCATGCGGCAGCGGCACTTGAGGAGACCCTGGTGGCGCAACATCTGGGGAGCTGGGGCGTACAATCCACAGCAGTACCAGCCACAGCAGCAGCAGCACCACCAGAGCAGCCCACTCAGGGGCACAAGCATGTGCCCAGAGGAGGCCACACGCCCGCACGGGCCAGCCAGAGTCTTTGAAGAGGGAAATAGGTTAGGTTTGAGGGGTCCACAGTGTTTCTGTGTAGTGGAGAAATTCGCCTTCTCACTGGATGTTCTTGAAAACCCTCAGAGCAGCAAGTGTATTGCCCCCAGGGCTGAGAACTGTCCGTCTCTGTTCTGAATTCCACCTGGAAAGCCCAACAACAACAAGTCTTCGTTGCCCAACCTTAGACTTGGCTCTAGGGGTCTCCTTTCTGCCTTGTACCCAGGATACTGGTAGGAGCAGGGCAACAGAAGAACTGCTGAGGATGGGCTGGTAGAGTCTTGAGAACAATATCTAAAAGTTCCCCCAGGAAATCATTTCTTCTCAAATTCCTAGGCAGTAAGAAATCTCTTTCTTTGCTATAAAAGGGTGGGGAATATTATAAAGTAAACTTGGAATGGGTTGAGATCTGGGCTTAAGGGGAGAAAAAAGTAACACAATGAGAGAATTGAGGCTGTATTGTGGAAGAGAAAAAGATAGTTTTCCTCAAGTGGCAGGAGGCTGGGGATAAGGAGCAAGGTGGTGGAGGAGGGCAGGATAGGAGAAGTTTTATTTCTGCTAGGCAGAAAACTGGGGCAATGAACCCCTAGAAGCACCAGAGTGGCTTTTAAGAGAGCTTAGGGTGTAGGTTGCAGATGAGATTGGGTACAGGGCTTGTGCTTCACCTGTGCAGCCAAGAGGCTGGGCAGAAGAGGAGAAAGCCAATTAGGAGATCCGAGGTGGGAAGAGGGAGAGAAAGAGGTTGGGGAGGGAGAGAAAGGGGAAAAAATGGTTTAACCCTTGCAGGGCCGCTTCCTTCCTGAGCTTTAAGATTCTGGCTGGAGGAAGGATGTGTGCGTAGGGGTGGGAGGGCAGTGGAGCAGAGCAAGGGAAAGAAAAGAGAGGCGTGTGGGAGGGGACAGCAAAAAGAAACAGTTACATTCTCTCAGGCCCTGCCCCACCCGTGCTACAGTTCTACAATCCTCGAATCTCCCCCTCCCCTGAGTTCCATCAAGGGTCCCTCCTGAAGAGGTGCCCGGAGAGGGGCAGGTGCAGGTGCAGGCGAACGAGCGGCCTCGCCTTGTCCTCCTCGTCCTCCTCCTCTGGGTCGTCGTCACCCTCCTGGTCCCGCTCCGGGTCTGCCCGCGCCCGTTGCCGCTGCTGTGTCGGCGGAGACTGCTGCTTGGCGCCCGGGTGTCTCCGGGGCGGGGGCTGCTCCGCCTCGTCCTCTGGCTGCTGCCCGCCGTCCGGCGTGGTCGCGACTCCCGGCTTCATGATCCTCCGCCTCCTCCTCCTCCTTCCCCGGGGGCCGGCCCTGAGCCCCTGCGCCCGGGCAGCGCTGCCATGCAACCAAGCGGCAAGGCGCGCGTGGGGGTGGGAGCGGCTGAGGAATGAGGCGGGGCGGGGGCAAGGGGAAAAAAAATGTAATAATACTAGTGCAATAATCCGGTCTTCAAATCATCAGCGAAGGGTGCTCCGCAGGGTGGGAGGCAAAAGAGAGCGGTGGCCAGGTCGGCTGTGCTGGCCTCACTGCCCCCGCCCAGGGCGGCCTCGGCCGGCTCTCGACCTCCACCCCCGGCGCGCCCCTCCCTGCTCCACGCTGTCTCCAGTCCGCTGTGCTGGCGACTGCTGCTACCGCTCTCCTCGCAGACGCAGCGAGGTGAGGCTCGCGGGCGGCGCCGGCTGAAGGTGGGCAGCCGCAGGCGAAGCAGCGCGGCCCAGGTGGGAGGCAGCCGGCACTTGGTTTCAGCGTGGTCCTCGAAGCGCCCCGAAAACCGTGTATAAATAGATCTCTTGAAAAAAGCCGAAGGAGGAGCAGAGCGCAGCCCCGGCTGCCGCCAGGTGTTGTCGTCCGCCGTTGCTCGGCACCCGCCGCCGCGACTGCTGCCCCCCCTGGCTCGCTTCCCAGAGGGGTGGCGCTGGATGAGAGGTGGCGGGGCGGTGCACTGGAGCCCGGCTGCCCGGAGCCCGGCAGGCTCTCGGCGATCTCCGCGGCCGCCGCGAAGCCTCTGCTGCCTTCAGCACCGGGCGAGTGGACAGCTCCTGCCCGGGGCTGCGCGTCACGCCGGTGGGGGCCTGACGCACACGCCACCGCTGCGGAGCGCTGGAGGAGGGAGAGGGGGCGAGAGGGAGAGAGGTTGGGGCGAGAGGGCGCCGAGCTGGAGTAAGGGTTGGGGAGGGACCGAGGGAATGGGAGGGAACCAAGGGTAGGAGGAGGCAGCCAAGGATAAGGCAGCTGGGCTGCAGGGGCGCGAGTCCGGCACTAAGTCGTGCCTTTGCCTCCTATCCCCGCAGCAACGTCCTCGGGCGGATGGAACAGTGACGGGTCTTCTGCCCACAGTGCACTGTCCCCGCACCCCTCGGCGCACAGCTAGCCAGCCACCTCACAACCAGAGTCCATTCCCTGCCCAGAGCAGCGTTTAAAGTCTCTGTCAGTCCACAAGCCTAGAGGGAGAGGAAGTTGTGTGACTTCCACACTGAGGCTGGGACTCGCTGGAGACCTAGTCTCTTCTGACGAAGACTTCAGGTGAAGGAGGCGCTTGGCACCTTCAGACAGCGAGGGGAATGCTGGCTTCATTTTCACCGGTTTCTTCCTCTGGGATTGAAGCCGCAATGGGCAGGATTGGAGACTTTTAGGTCCACCTTGACACTGTCCCTCAGCCAGGACAGTCAGGTTGCTCCAGGCGCATCGGTTGATGTACATCACCATTGTCATCGTTGCTCCAAGCTATGTTTCCTTGCATTGTGAACCACAGGAGATCCGGAGCAATATCGCAGCCCACAGCCCCTTCTCGGTCAACATCCCCACCTCCTCCTTTCCAAGCCGTCCACTGAGCCCCTGGCAAGGAGCAATTGGAACACGGATTTTAATTTCCTATCCTGGTTCTTCTCTGACTCATCTCACCTAACATTCTCATAGCATCTCGAGTGAACAGAGAGATGTCCTTAAAATGTGAAGAGTTAGAAAAAAAAAAGGAAGAAAGAAACGCAAGGCGGTCTGTAATAAGTATTCAGTATCTGCACCTGTAGATTCATATCATGTAAAACTTTGGATTTTGTTTCTGGCTTTCACTCACACACACACACACCCCTCTAGAGTCAATACATTACAGTGAGTCATCTGCACAGCTGTGGCAATGCCTTTAGAAATACTGTCACCACAACAGAGCAAGCAAAATACCGGCACCACGATATTACTGGCATGAAGTTTGGCCCAGTGAGTCATAAGAAAATGACCCCTTTGCTGCCATCTTCGTTAACAATTCATTCCTACAAGCTTTAGGAAGTGAGGCCCTGTGTCTAGTTCTTGACCAACCCAGGGTGACTGCTGGTCTGAATTGTGACCCAGCACCCAACAAAGATGCAAGATTCAGCTCAAGGTGAGTGATTTGGAAATGACAGTGATTATAATTATTGGTGTTGGCATGAATACTGTGCTACAAAAAAAGAACTTCTTTATTCTTTTTAAAAACTCCATTTGCCCTCAGACAAAATCATCTGTACTCCACATCATCTTGTAGCTGCTTCTGGTACTGCGCAGACCATACTCTGTAATAATTATCTCATCATACATTCATCTCCACCCCTATGACTCAGAGCTCCTTGAAGGCAGGCACTATTTTACTTATACATCAGCACATAACAATGCCTGAAGTCCAATAGGTAGGTGATCAAGAAAATGAACAAATGGCCTTTATGTTGCAACGGAGCACTCACATTTGGGACTTTCAGCTTGGATACACACACACACACGTTTTCATTCATGCTTGAATATATGACTGACCCAAAACTGAGTTCTAAGCTTTTATGCTTACAAAACGCTAGTGTCTGGTGTGTTGTGCAAGTAAATTGGAAAGGAGACATAAAAGCCACTCAAAGCCTGTGCTTTGTGTCACTAATAGACCTCCATCCACTTCCTGTACCTTTGACTGGGGTCTCCAAGTTCTTTTACTTTGCCACCAAGTCCTTGAAATGACCCGTGTCCCTAGGAAGACTGGCTTTTCCAACCCTTGCACTGAAAAGGAACAGATTCATAGAGCAGGAAGCCTTTAAGTGTGGGAAACAGTGGGATTGTCTTTGAAAAGACTGAGAAGCATGTACGTCCTGTTTTGAATACAAAGCAAATCCTAGAAAACATCTCTCTTAGTTTGGTTCTCTGTACATTGGTTTTGAATCATGAACATCAAGAGTAAAAAGAATCATGAAGACATGTTAAATCACTGAGTCACCAGTAAAACATTTAAAACGTGTTCATTGAATGTGGGGTTCAAGGGCAAATAGATCACTAAGTCACAAGATGGCGGCTAACAGAAGAGTCCTGGGCGAGGATCAAGGCCACTAGGTTACACATGGCGAACAAGATGGCGACCAAAAGAAGAGCCCTGGGCTTGAACAAGTTGTTTTCAAGAAAGACTGATTGGCCGGGAGCCATTTCCATGCTCATCTGCTCCTGGCCTATGGGAGGTGGCTTCCACAGTGGTGCTGATGACAGTTGGCTCTTAGTTCTCCTCCTCTCTGGGAATTCCTGGAATTCCTGGCCTGAGGCTGTTCACTATTTCATATAAGAATGTGTGTTTCTGAATAAACCGGAACTGCTTGGACTGAACCCCTGCCACGTCTGTTTGTCTCTGGCGCGAAGGGAGGCTGAATGCAGGCAGTTGGCTCACCCCCTCCGAAAACAGGATACTAGAGGATCGAATCTGTGGGGAGGGAGCCCCACAATTGAACAGCAAACCTAGGTCAGGAAAGATGTTGGAAGATATCGGAAACATGGAAAGAGTTGGTTGAATTGCATCCTTAAGGCCCTGGTATTATAATCATGCATATAATCACAATATGAGGGTAAGAGATACAATGATAACTCCTACAAAGGTATGAAAGTTTGGGGGATGGTTACAGAGGGAGATACACTTGAAGCTTGACATCAATTAAGAGAGGTGGAAAGTGGTGGAGGAAGATGAAGATAAATGCCAGAAAGCTCTGGCAGTCTTTTTTGACCAGTGACATTTGAACTGAGTTAAAATGCGGGTAATTCAGAGGTGAGACATGTATGCCTGGCAATGGGGAATGTGGAATACTCTAGCTCTTCCATTCGGGAGAGCTTGAAGATAAGTAGCTTGTAGAATTAAAGTCAGAAAGGTAGGCTGGACCAAGATTACAAAA